TTGCTCCCCGCAGGGCGCCAGGAGGGTCCAGCTGGACGGAGATCTGCGGTCGGTGCTGCTGGAGGCTCCCGGGCGCTGCGTGCCCTATGCGGTTATAGAAGGTAGGGGCAGGGCCTGAAGCGGAGCCCCAGATAAGGGGCGGGGGCACAATCCTCCCTTCCCCCGCCCCGCAGCTGCTCCTCACTTTGGGGATTTCATCCCTAGCCCCTCGATCTGTGCCCATGAGTTCATCTTTCCCCCGACAAGTGGCCACTGACTCCTGTCAGGCAAAACAGGGGCTCTCAGGCCTTCTACCCCGTCTGACAATTGTGGAATGGTTTGGGTTGGGAGAGACCTTAAAGCTCATCCAGTTCTACCCCCTGCCGTGGGCAAAGACACCTTCCACTAGCCCAGGTTGCTCCAACTTGGCCTTGGACGCTTCCAGGGATGGGGCAGCCACAGCTTCTCTGGGCAGCCTGTGCCAGGGCCTCCCCACCCTCACAGGGAAGGGTTCCTTCCCACTATCCCATCTAACCATGCTCTCTGGCACTGGGAAGCCATTCCCCGTGTCTTGTCACTCCGGGCCCTTCTCCAAAGTCCCTCTTTTTTCGTTTGTTTTAACAAGCCACTCACTTGCCCCTGGGATTTCCCTTCCAGGTGTGGTGAGGTCAGTGAAGGAGACCCTGAGCAGCCAGTTTGTGGAGAACTGCAAGGGGGTGGTTCAGAGGCTGACGCTGCAGGAGCACAAGATGGTGTGGAACAGAACCACTCACCTCTGGTACGTGCCTGGTGCCCACAAATGGTCTCCTCCCGGCCCACCTGAGGTGCCCTCTGGGGATCTGACACCCTGAAATGGCCTCATGTGTGGCCAGAGTGACCAGGTGCCTCAGAGCTGGACCCTACAGTGGCCCTCCCAGTGACAGCTGCCAAAACAGGGCATGTTTGGCTAATTTTTAGGGCTTTCAGAGCTCATGGAGGATCTTAAGAGCACATTGAGTAACCCAATGTGGGCAGAGCATTGATCAGCCCCATCTTGTTATGGAGGATGGTATTTCCCAAAAAAACCCACTTTCAGAGCAGGAATCAGTTGGATTTGGGTGAATCTGCACCCAGGGGACCTGAGGAGGGTCCCAGAGCTACCTGGCCCACCAGAGCTGTTGAAACAAGAGCTTGGTGATGCTCTTGGATGAGCCACTTGATAACACCTATCAAGCTGGGGCATGTGACAGGTGGTGCTTCTCCTCACAGGGCGGTTTGTGACAGCTGGGAACGCCACAGGGAGGGGATTAGGTGGGACACAACCCTCCCCCAGTGATGGTGGGAGCCCACACTACTTGTAGGAGCTCTGTGAGGGTGGGAGAGCCTCGTGCACACTGGACAGTGCTACGAGAGGGAAGGTGCCCCATCAAATAAACTCTGCTTAAGGCGGAGTCAGCCCGCAGCTGTCAGTCCCCAAAACCCAGTCGTCCCTTGGGGTGAGGGGAAGCAGGTTCACTTTCCCCCCTTCTCCCTAAGGAACGACTACGAGAAGATCATCCACCAGAGAACCAACACCACCCCCTTCGAGCTGGTGCCCGCCGAGGACGGCGCCGGCGTCACCGTGCGGGTGGTGAAGCCTCTGGAGGCCGCCGAGCTCAGCCTGGAGACGGTGTACGAGAAATTCCACCCCTCTGTCCAGTCCTTCACCGACGTCATCGGCCACTACATCAGCGGGGAGCGCCCCAAGGGCATCCAGGAGACGGAGCAGATGCTGAAGGTGGGCACGGCGCTGACCGGGGTGGGAGAGCTGGTGCTGGACAACGCCACCATCAAGCTGCAGCCCCCAAAGCAGGGCATGCCCTACTACCTGAGCGCCGTGGATTTCGACTCCCTGTTGCAGAAACAGGAGTCCGGTGCCCGCTTCTGGAAAATCCTGACCGTGGTTTTCGGTGCCGCCACCTGCGCCGTCCTCTTCTTCCTCCTGCGGAAGCAGTACCGGCACCACCGGGAGAGGCAGCACCTCAAGCAGATGCAGGAGGAATTCCGGCAGGCCCAGGAGCGCCTGATGAACGCTGAGGGCGGGGACACCCTCAAAAATGCCTGCGTGGTCTGCCTGAGCAGCACCAAATCCTGCGTCTTCCTGGAGTGCGGCCACGTCTGCTCCTGCCACGAGTGCTACCAGGCTCTCCCCGAGCCCAAAAAGTGCCCCATCTGCAGGCAGGGCATCAGCAGGGTGGTTCCCTTGTACAACAGTTAATTTGTTTGTGGTTCTTGGGAGGGGGGGGAAGTTTCTTGGCACTTAAAGCTGTCTCTTGCGAAGGGGTTCTTGTCGCCTCGCTGCTTTGGGAGGTGGATTTTGGGGAAGGGGAGGGAGCTTGAGGGAGTGGGTGCTTTAATCACCTGGGTCTGAAAAGGTGATTGTGCAGCTGATCACGTGCATCATGTTGTGCTCTGGAGGCAAAGGGTGAGGTGCTCAGGGGGAGATGCAGCTTGAAGCTCTTCTGTTAAAGATTTGGACTCTCAGGGTTTGTGTCATGGTTGCTGAGCCTGTGGTCTCTTGCCTGGCTGATAAAAATGTGGGGAAAACAAAAATAAGATGGTTTAAGGGTTCTCAGAGGCTGCAGGATTCCTGTAATGCTGCCACACAGCTCTGATGCAGCAGGGGGGTCTGTTGGAGAACTCATATGGAGGAGTATGTGAACATGGGGAATTCTGTGATCCCCCCCAAAAAAGGGTTTGTGACACCAGGACATGAGGATGGGGAGGTGAGAACACCATGGCTGATGGCTGTGCTTGGCTTGAGCTGGGATGGAAAACAGAATGTAAAGCAATAAAATAGGATGAAAAGTGTGTTTGTGTCGGATCATTCCCTGGGGGTGACAGGGTTGTGCTCCCTGGGGTGGACATGCCATGATGGAGGTCAGGTGAGGGGGTGGGAGCTTGTCTCCCCACACTGGACATGACAGTCACTGCTGTCTCCTTGTGACACAGGCAGTACCAAACCCCCAAACTAACACAGAAAAGGAAAATTCCCTTCCCTTACTCCCCCATTTTGCCATAAATCCTGTATAGTCCCTGCACCCAAGAGGGTTAATGGACCCAAAGCAATTAACATTTGCTGAGGAGGGCAATTAGAGAAACACTCCTGGGGGTGGGGGAGCCTCCAGTAGGAACCGTCAAAAACCCCAGGACTGAAGCAGC